GACAGCATGTGGAGTTTCCACATTTTTTGGTGTTATAGGGGTTCTGCAACCAGAGGGCCAGCCACCTGCTGCTACAAGCACTTCACTGGAAAGTGCCTGTCCTCGTCCTTCATGTGACCTGGGGCCTGGCTCTCTGGAGCTCCGGTGGGCAGGTGCGAGACTGCTCCCCGCCACCACCACTTCCAAGTTACTGTCTGACCATTTAAAAATGTTTTTTCTACCTCTTGGTGTTAGGAAAAAAGTTGCCATGAATAATCACAGCGTGTAAGTTTTTGTATCAGTATATGTTTTCATTTTTCTCTCATTTCCTAAAACTGGAATTTCTAGGTTATATGGTAGATGTTTGTTTCAGTCTATGAGAAATTGAGTTTGTAAATTTAAGCTTATAGGAATTGCTGGGTCAATCTTGAGAGAGAGAGAGAAAGCAAACCCAAGTGGGGCTGGTCATGCCACACCCTTTCTCCTCCATGTCTCCATCCAGTCAGGATTTGGGGTACACAGGAGCATGCACTCGCTGCAGTTGGCCCCTTGGTATCTTGTTCCTAGTGCATGGTGCTTGCTTAACCACTGCACTGCGAGGCTGGCCTGTGCCAGCTGCCTTGCCTTAGCAGATGTTTGTGAGACTGACTAGTTACTTTATGTGTGTGCTGCCCACCCGTTGGCTGCGTTATTCCGCCTTACGGCATTCAGGTTCCCGTTCACTGGTGAAGAAATGTGGAGTTTTTTTTCCTAACCAATTGAATTTTATTTGTTGTATAAGCTAGCCAACATCTTTCAGCTAAAAAAAAACAAAACAAAACAAAACAAAAAACAAACAAACAAAAAAACATTATATTTGAGCAAAGATTACAGAATGAATTAGAACCCCACTAAAATTTGCTTTGGGGAGAGAACACCACAATTCTACTTAATTAAAAATATTTTTTTGTAGACCATAGTTTGTTTATTTTTAACACCCATCATGCCATGAATTCATAGGGGATAGGTTCAAGAAACTCGTCTCCTTTTCATTGGTTTTCACGAAGTGTGCTTCTTGGGTGGAGAAAGCCAAAGGCTGGTGCTTCAGTGAAACCCAGGTCCCTTTCTCTGGCTTTCTTCTCTTTCTGGTCATTTCCCCCCACACGTTTTTAGGAAACTGTCTCTGTTCTTAGAAGGCTTAAGCTCAATATGCACATTTATTCTCTTGGCAAAAATCTTGCTTTTAACTTATTTGCAGCAATGCCAACAGCATGTTGGGTCACACTGTAGACTCTGCAGTTTTGCCACAGTGACATTTGTGGTGCATTCCTTTCTGAACAGTGCCCATTCCCTTGGTGTCTACACTATCACCTTTCTCTTTCCCTTTGTGTTCGTCATTTTGGTGAATGACTGGAAGATGGTGGTTCCAGCCAGAAGGAAGACAGCATATGGAGTTTTCACAGTTTTTGGTGTTATAGGGGGTCTGCAAACAGAGGGCCAGCCACCTGCTGCTACAAGCACTTCACTGGAAAGTGCCTGTCCTCGTCCTTCATGTGACCTGGGGCCTGGCTCTCTGGAGCTCCGGTGGGCAGGTGCGAGACTGCTCCCCGCCACCACCACTTCCAAGTTACTGTCTGACCATTTAAAAATGTTTTTTCTACCTCTTGGTGTTAGGAAAAAAGTTGCCATGAATAATCACAGCGTGTAAGTTTTTGTATCAGTATATGTTTTCATTTTTCTCTCATTTCCTAAAACTGGAATTTCTAGGTTATATGGTAGATGTTTGTTTCAGTCTATGAGAAATTGAGTTTGTAAATTTAAGCTTATAGGAATTGCTGGGTCAATGGTAGGTGCATGATTAGTCATATAATAGACCGCCTTTCCTGAAGTAATGGTATCATTTTATATTTTTACCACCAGCCTTTACTGCATATCCCTCCAAACCTGCCATATTGTTAGGGTTTTTTCTTTGGGTGGTTTTATTTTTACTTTTAACTAACCTAGGAAGGTATAGTGGTGTTGCAGTGTGGTTTTACTTTTTGTTTCTTGATGGCTAGCGACGTTAAACTTCTTTTTATTTGCTTATTGTCATTTGTGTGTCTTCAGCGGAAAGTCTGTTCAGATCTTTGGACCTTTTCGGTCTGGACTTGTCTGTAATTAAGTAGCAACAACTGTTTGTATACTCCGCATGGGAATTCTTGCTTAGTTACTTGTATTACGAGTATTTCCTTCCATTCTGTGCCTGAAACAGGCTTTGTTTTATTACTACACTTTGTAGTTGTGTAAACGGGAGCATAAATCTGGCTGCTTACTCCTTTACGGACGAGAGCCGCGTGAGCTCCCCTTTAACAGAGCTTTCTTTAGCTAAGATTTCCCTTTTTTCATTTCCATGCCCCCAAACTCTCTCTCTTTCTCTCTTTTTTCTTAAAGAATTGTTTTATTTAACTTTATTTATTTTAATTTGACCAGAGATGGTCACAGTGAGAGAGAGTGAGTTAGAAGAAAAGTGAGAAAGCAAGCTGCCACATCTGAGACTTGAACTGTGATCAGCCGTGTGGGAGTCCAGCGCCCTTAACCACCAACCTTAGCTGCTGGCCCCACCCTTTCTTCTCTACTGAGTAACTTCTCTGCGTGTTCACATCTAAAGGTTACTTACTCTGGAAAGCTTTTCCATCTTGGAAAGTCTCTTGGTGCTTTTTAAGTACACTTTTGTAGGTCTCACTACCTTCCACATTTTAAGCTTTGTTGAAGGGACAGGGAGTGGGTGGGTTCTGTGGCTTAGTGGTTAGGTCAGCCGCATCCTACATAGTTGACTGTGTGTTTCAAGTCCTAGACCTGGCAGCTTGGGAAATACTCCATATGCGCTCCCAAAAATACTGAAAGGGGAGAGGAGGGATTGCGACAAGACCATTCCGATGGGCGTGCTTTCTCCTCTTCCTCTGTCTCTCTCTGGTGAGTGCATGTACCCTCTTAACAGTGAAGGGTAGGGGCCATGGCTGTTTCGGTTCACTGATGTATTCCGAGCGGCTAGCTACGTGTCAGATCTCCGGTGACTGTTCAGGATATTGCAGTAAGAGACATGCCAGCTCTACTGTTGCTGTACTGTTTGGGTTTGCTGTAGTTCTCTCACACTTTGGAAAGCAGTCTGTCGTTTTCAGCAGAGTTTAAGAGATGACAATGATGCATTTTGGTCTTGGGGGCACCGCTCGTTACCCCTTTGTGCCCAGATCCTCTGCATGCCGCAGCCCAAGCAAACTCGCTAATCCAGTCAGGTTCGCTTGCGTTTTTGAGGCCCGTATAGGCTTCCACTAGTCGTTGAAGAGCTTAAAAGTTTCTCATACTCCGTTCCAGTAATTTAAAAGGTAAGTGTGTGCTCAGTGTTTCTGTGTTAATAAAATTAATTTGATATGTGTGAAAGATTGATCATTGAGTTGAGGTCCTCTGGGCAGTTTTTAACAGATTTCTTTCATCTTTTTAGAAATAAATATTATTGTGTATATTTGAGGTTTATGAAACATGAAATACCGAGGCACGTGGGCCTGCACCAAGGTCAGCACATTGTCACATTTTGTTTGTGTGGTCAGAGGAGCTAAAACCTGTCTCACAGGACCTATTTGCTATTTCTCAGTCTATGTTCTTTTATAAGCAAGAAATCAACTTCTTGTTCCAGTCCGTCTCTTGGGGCCAGTCCCTGCCCTAGTGGCCAAGGTGTGATTTTGACAGAATTTTAAAAGATCCTTTGGGAAATTTTCTAACACGTGTATACCTTTTTCCCCTAAGATTGAAGAATGAAAAGGCCTTACGTCTTAACCTTATTGGTAAGTGAATTTTCTTATTTGACATTCTGACTAGAGTCTAGTGGATTTCTGCTCTAGACCTAATATTTTTGTTGTTTTTCAGTGCTCTAGTGAAATACTTTTATCAAAATGAAATTACTTTATCAGATTTACTTAAAAGATCAGTAATTAAACTTTTAAAGTAAAATGTGTTTATCATTTCTAGTTTAATTTTCCAGAAATGAAGTTTATATTTACCTGTCTACCTGTCTACACACTTCCCTACATCTAACTGAGGTGTAATTCTAACTCCCTGACCATTGGTATTGTGAGGGATTATGGCCTAGGTATTATGGAAACAGTAATGTTTAATAATATGGATACAGTATCTTTAGCTTATATTTCAGTATTACAATATTTTTTGGCCAAATTTAGTTTATTAATTTTCATAAGTTGGGGATTAAAAATAGTAACTATTAGACTTTGTTACTAAGTAACATAAAGGTGCTCGAGCCTCATCTCTCATGCTTAGGCAGGTACTAGAATAGCATCTCTAAACAGGTGTCAATGTGCTTGTGGGGCCGTGTCTTGATCTGTGGTACTGAGAAGTCCCACAGGAAGGGCCATGCTGGTCAGAGGCGCCCCTCAGGGTGTGCCCTGTGGGCTCCTGGTGATGTGTCCCGGCTGCTCTGCAGTGCCCGGCAGTGTGGGCGTGCTCAGCACACCCACTGACTTAGGGCCCCGACGGGCTCCCTGACCTCTCCTCTGCGAATGGGGTGAGACTGTAGAGCTGCCAACACAGCACGGTGCATGCGGGCTCTCCGGGTCAGCAGGGAGCACTGGCAGCATTTCCTTCTTACTGTTTAGACAGATTCTGTCATTTGCTTTTTAAATGCCTAGAACTTCACGTTCTTTTTTTCCTGTGCATCCATATTGAAAAGTATATATTATATACACACACACACACACACAGAAGAGCATCCCTCCCACTTCTGTCTCTTCTCTAAATTAAAATGTGACAATTTAATTTCTGACAGACTGGTTTAATTAGCTTTGAGCCCACACAGGGCTTTATATTTAACATTGAAATAAATTTTGGTTCTGTTTTAAACACATTAATGTGAGAATTATAAAGAATATCTCTTTGCTTAAATGGTGACTTGTGGTGCTTAACTATCTTGGTACTTGTTTATAGGTGAGAAATTGCAGTGGTTTCAAAGTCATCTTGACCCCCACAAAGGGGGATATTCAAAGAGAGACGCTTGTGAGTTAATTGAAAGGTAAACACTGGGCGTATTAAGAGCAAGGATCAGGGAAGAGGGTTCTGTGCCCTTGTTCTTTAAGAGACAGCTCTGTTCTGGATTTGCAGAAGAGTACCTGGGCTTTATTATCAGAAAGGCTGGATCCATCCCTGGCTTCCCGACTTGAGCAGTGTTGTCATGTCCTGGCCCTTCAAGTGGTGTGGTGTGCCCAGTTTCTTTGGATCAGGAAAGGTTTCCTGGAGAAGTGTCGAGTAATCTGGCACCTCAAGGGTCAGGGTCAGTAGACAGGCAAGGTCAGTTGATCTTTTGCCCTTTCCCCTCACACTGCTCTACCCATCAGTACCCAGTATAAGAGAGAACGAACTCTGAACAGCCAGAGCTGGGAACAGGGGTGCCATGTGTAGTGACCTGTCAGACATTTAATATGACTGAGCTAAGGCCAAGAAGGGAAACGCGGCAGGTACAGGAGGCACAGCCGGCCCACGAGTGAACCCAGGTGTCATCTGAGAGTTCAGGCCTTCTTTGAGGCCACTGGGAGCTGTAGGAGGCTCTCGGAGCCCACACCTGGGCGGTGGTCTCTAACTTGAGAAAGGTCAGTCATGAGAGGACAGTGGCCTTGGCCAGGAGACCGTGGAGAGGCTGATGGACACCTCGGGCAAGAGGTAGTGGTGGTGGGAGGACATGAAAGCTTCCGGAGAAGTTAAGAAGGCAGGGGTCTCAGTGCAGTGAAGGCTCGCGTGTGCAATGAAGGCAGGGAGCAGGGGTCTCAGTGCAGTGAAGGCTCGCGTGTGGAATGAAGGCAGGGAGCAGGGGTCTCAGTGCAGTGAAGGCTTGCGTGTGGAATGAAGGCAGGGAGCAGGGGGCTCAGTGCAGTGAAGGCTCGCGTGTGGAATGAAGGTCGGAACCTGCCCGCCCCCTTTGCTGGGGCAGCAGGGTAAATGGGCTGGTCCAGGGTGGGTGCAGTGGTTCGGTAGCAGGTGGGTGGGCAGGTGATGGCAGGCCCAGTTTGGATGTGCCACAGGCGAGGCCACTAGGGCATGTCTGAATGGAGGTATCCAGTAGGTGGGTGGAGCTGAGGGTCATGGCTCAGGAGGGGCTTTGCTGGCAGACTGGCCTGGTCACTAACGTCAAGGAGGTGGCTGAGCTACCCCGGACGGGGTAGAGAGGCGGGGATGCAGGGGACTCAGGGAGAACGGAAAGAGAAGAGGAGGGCAGGGGTTAAGTTTTAAGTGAATAAAAGCCAAATAGAGACTTTGTAACTCGCATGATTTTCTTATTTTCCAGGTATTTGAATCGATTTAGTGGCGAGCTAGAGCAGATTGAGTTACACAACAGCATCAGAGACAGGCAGGGCCGGCGGCACTGTTTCCGGGAGGCGGTCATCAGGCAGACGGTGGCCCGCGCTACGGCCTCGGTGGGTGCTCACTGCCCACGAAACGCGTGGTTCAGATTTGTGCCTCGTGTCAGCGCGCTAGTTCGGCTTTCTCCTTTGATTCTCTTTTCTTCGTTTCGAATAATTTTTGACTCGTTTCCCAGCAAAGCTGTCAATTTTGTGTCCAGCACATGGTATCTTCCACGTGACCGTGAGTCCTCCTTTCCTTTCTGGAAGGTACCAGCTTTGTCTGTGGGGGTCATTCTTCTCATCCTGGCCTTATCTGCTTCCTCAGAGTGGGTACTACCATGTCCCTTTCATTTTTGTAATTCCCGTGCTACACTACACCCACTGTCTCTCTCTCTCTTTTTTTAGAGATTTTTGCCATAAGGCGTGTACGCTCGCCAGAAAGAGAGAGAGACAGAAAGTGAGAAATCACACTCCAGGGGGAATGGCCACATCATAATCCCTTCTCCTCCATTCTCCTCTCGGGATCTTGGGCAAGCATGCACACACGCCTGGTGTGAGTTTAAGTCACTGGGTCTGGGACTCGTACCACGGTTGACTACATGGGAGTCCAACGACATAGCCATTACACAAACTACTGGTTCCCCCACTGTCATTTTTGACAGGAGAAATCAAATGTTCTTTCTTAGGCTTGTGACACGCCGCACAGATCCTCACGACGGGGTTGTCTGTTACCAGGTTGTTAACACTGAAGAAAAGCACTGGGTGGGAGAGGGAGCCTAGGGCTTGCAAAGCCTCAGTCTGGTGTCTACCCAAGGATGCATATGGCTGCAGGTGCTCAAAGGACAAGTGTTACTTCATTAATGGGTCTGTTTTGTTATACAAGTTTTGTGTAGAACTTACTACTAGGATTCTAATTGTTTTTTAAAGCAAGGCTTTACTGTTTCTCTTTATTTGTAAGTTAAGTAGGTTTTTTTCTTTAGAATTATTTTATTTAACTTTATTTATTTATTTAATTAATTTATTTTAATTTGACCAGAGAGGGACAGAGAGAGGAGAGAGAGGGAAAGTGAGAATGTAAGCCGCCAGGTCCAGGACTCGAACGGCGGTCAGCCATGTGGGAATCCAGTGCCCTCAACCACCACGGCACCTCTGGCCCCTATTACTAGCATTCTGAAGTTACCTTCTTCAACTAGGCTCTTTATACTTGCCAAGTGTACTTCTTAAAAATAACTTATTTAATTTTATTTATTATTATTTTAATTTACTATAGGGCATGTGTACTCATCAGAGAGACAGAGAGAGAGAGAGAGAATGAGAAAGCATGCTGCCAGGTCTAGGACTCAGTTCACGGTCAGCTAAGTGGGAGTCTAGCACCTTTAACCACACCACACCCTGCTGACCCATCAGCTGAGTTTTCATATTAATTATACAGTGCCTTGATACTTTGTTTTTCTTTGGATGTGCTTGCTATCAATTACTGTTTGTTGTATCTGAGATACTGAATGAGGAGACTGTAGAATGATACAATTTAGAAAACTGTTCCTGACAGATACAAATGTTTCTCTTTCCCAGAGATTCCAGACATCCTAAATGCAAGTAATCTGAAAACTTTCCGGTGAGTGTGCCTTACAGGTTCCCTGGGAACTGCATGTAAAATAAATGAGGCATAAAATTTCTTTTCTTTGGAGTCTAGACATCAAGCTAAAAGGAAATGGGCCGCTTTTACCTTTGCTTATTTTATCAGGAAGGTAAGGGTTTGAAGCACCTGCTGTACACGGAAATGGTAATTACACGGTGTATCTTTTATTTGTTTTTCTAACTAATTTAAAATAGTACTTCAAAGAGTTTGTTTTCATTATTCCTTCCCAGTTCTTATTTTTTTTTAAAAGAAAACAGCAATAGTCTTGGACTCAGAGTCTCATCCTTGGGATTCCTCTGTACACGCTTTCGGAGGGAAGATAGTTAAGGGACACGATAACCAGGGGAAGGGGCGAAGGCATCAACAAGCATTTAGTCCAGGGCTGGGACAGTAGCACAAGGGCAAATAAAGCACAAAGCTCTTGGGACCAGCAGATGGCATAATGGTTATGTCACTGGAGTCCCATGTAGTCAACTGTGGTTCACGTCCCAGACCCGGCGGCTTAAAAAACTCATGCCAGGTGAGTGTGCGTGTGTCCCCAAAATCTCAAAAGGAGAATGGAGGATGAAGGACTGTGGTGTGACCATCCCCGTTAGGGGTGATTTCTTGCTTTATGTGTCTCTGTCTCTATCTCTCTATGGTGAGCATGCGTGCCCTATAGCAAAGAAAAAAAGAAAGTTTCTGGGGCAGTAGGTGCTGTGGTGGTAAAGGCACTGCCCTATAGCAAAGGAAAAAAAAAAAAAAGAAAGTTCCTGGGGCCAGTAGGTGCTGTGGTGGTAAAGGCGCTGGACACCCCACATGACCGAGCACAGTTCAAGTCCTGACCTAGTGGCTTGCTTTCTGACTTTCCCACGTCTTTAAAATAAAAGGAAGCTCTGAAGGCCAGCTCATGTGGGACAGGGCCTGGTTTCCATCTGGAGCCTCTCTGAGTACACTGGACACGTGTGTGCCCATGGTCGGGGCCGGCTGAGGCTGGGAGTGGAGCCTGGCAGCAAGACTGTTGGGGATGCCCTCTCTCTCTCTGTTTCCCCCACTTCTGGAAGAAAGAAAGAAACTTTAAAATAATTAAAAAAAAAAAAAAAAAAAGACCTGGTTGGTCCAGTGGTCTCTCTCATCATACTCCTTTGTAGTCAGGGAGGCCACTAGGATTCAATTACTGTTTTCAAGCATTGGTTCTCTGTCTCTAGAAAATTATTTTTATTAATCATTTGGGTCTTAATTAGACCATGTTGATTGGTTGGAATTTAATGCTGTTGGCTAAGTTTGAATTTAATCATATTCTTTGGAACTTATGGATTTAATCTTATCTGTGGGATTCTGTACTTCTCAACTCATAGACACTAAAGCAGCTCTAATAGGGTTCATCTGTCAAATTCAAGAACCGTCTCCACTTAGGTCTTGTACAGCACTTAAATACATGGGACTTAAATTGTTTTTATGCCCTAAATATTCATCTTTGCCTGTAACATTAACTGATGAAATATATAAGTATACTCCTTATTTCTAAAACTATGTTGTGCCTCCAAAGAAATCCTTGAGCAAGAAGAAATGGGCACAGCTACTGTTGCAGCTTCGAGTTGGTTTCTCAGAACAGCCTTCACGTTGCTCCTAAAGTAACCAAATGGAGAATTTTCACAGCAGATACTGAGACTGCAGAACTGAAAATATTCTGTTACAAGAAGAACAGTTGTTTTTGATTACCGAAACTTAACTCTGGTTTACCACTGGGTGTGAAAAGGAAAACCTTTCCTGACTGAAAGATTTGCCAGATGAGGCGTTGCTCCTACTTTTGAGATTCTTGGTACTGCGTAGCTGAGGGAGACATTCGGGTCAGGGAGGAGGAATTTTGAGTGGACAGAGCCTCCTTGTAACTTGCCTGGTATTTTTTTCTATTTGGCTTCTGAAGTTCTGAATAAGTAAGGTTTTTTGGGGGGGATTGTTACTACTGCACATAGTAAGAACATACAGTAAGTGTGGGATGTAAGCCTCAGTTCTTGGGACATTGTTGTTTTCTAGTTAGTTTATATTATTGTTTTCCTAATGCATCTAAATCTGCTATAAATGGATAAAATTTCTTCTGCTACTCCCAGAGTTTTGAAAATTGACTATCTCCTGCTTACTTGGCTCAACTCCCACCAACACTCTCTGATCTGCTTTTGTCTAGGGAATGGGATTTTGATCTGAAAAAATTGCCAAACATTAAAATGAGGAAAATTTGTGCTAATGATGCAATTCCCAAGAAGTGCAAGAAGAAGACTAAGACTGTTGTAACGGTGGACAAAGACTTGGAAGAGTTGGATCTGAAAGGCGAATCCAGTGACTCGGATGAAGAAATGACTGCAGTGGACTGACTGCCTTTACTTGAGTCAGAAATAAATGACCCGAAAGCTTCACGTGTCAGCTCATTGAGTTTGGCAAGTACTTGTCCTCAGATCCAAGGGTTTGCCATTTCGCTGTTCTCTTCCGGGATGGGAATCCCATTTGTGGTTTCAAACATGCTACAATATCTACTTAGAAATGAAGGTTGCGCTTCATTTACATTAAGTCGCTAACATAGAAATGATCTACAGAGGCCTTTTAATGTGACTCTGTGTTTGAGGGGAGGAGCAACATGAGTGAAGACAGAACTTCTCAGTTTTTCCCAGGCGTAACTCTTAGGTCTGCCTGACCTTGCATTTGGGGAGTGGACTAAAAAGTTCCTTCGGGTGCCTCAGCTGGGATGGCATTCAGGTTGTCTTTCATAATAATACACTATTCCTTCCCCTCAACATTAGACCAGATATTATTTTTTTATAACATAGGGGAAAATGATATGGAATGATAGACATTAATGGATTGTATGGCTTCAGCCAGAGTTAAATGGTTAAAAAACGTGACTGTTAGGTTGCTTTCTTAATCTTATGTCAAAGGGGGTAAATTAGTGTGACCTCAGGCTAGCGTCTTATGATCGTGTGTTTCTGCTTCCTCATGGTGAGAAGGGGCAGTTTTATTTGTGGAGACGGAAGTGGAGATCAGAGGACTGACACTCCGTTAGTGTTACTCGCCTTCTAGGAGGCAGTTACGTTGCGCACAGTGTCATTTAATATTTCAAGTAGCCTGAAAACATGACCGTTCAGGATTTGTTCTTCACAGAATTTGTTAAATGTAAGTATCACTTAGTTTATTTTCAAAGAAAGCAATTCAAGTGTATTTGAAAATTTTTAAGACAAGACCAAAAAGGCAAGGCTGTATGGGGTTAATTCAATACCAACTAAGTCTTGTTAACAGTTTATTTGAAGTGTTATAACTTCACTTCTGAAATTGAGAAATAAAGCCTATTTTCATAACTTCACGCAGGTTCTCATTGTTTAATTCTCAGTGCTGTAACTGAGCTGATGAGCTTTAGTGGTCTGTGAAGGTGTGGTTGATGACTACGTGAGAAGTTGGTATCTCTTTAGTCATTGGAATGTTCCCCTCCCTCTCTCTGGTTCATGTTTATCTCAAAATGGCTGTAAAAACTGAGTCATAAATTACAGTAGAGAGAATAAGAACTGTTTTATCTGGTCTAAGCTTGAAAGCCCACATTGTTCGATGAGTGACTTGAGGACAAATATCCCCCCTCTCAGACATTTGTCCCTGGTTTTCCTTCATGCCGTCAGAGCAGAAATACTGACAAGCTCCACTGCTGGGCAGGGGACGGATGGTCTGCTTTGAAGCTGTGCTTTGGATCTTCGTGTAGCCATGTCCTCTCGGGGGCTTCTTTCATCCAGGGGGATGACCTGTGGGCCAGGGGCACATCTTTGTAAGATGGCTGTCCACGCCAGGGCCATGGGACAGAGTAAGGGAAAGGGGACACGCCTTCTCTGTGTGCACCTGCTTTACCACCCTTGGCAGTGTCAAAGCGGTCCTTAGTTGATGGCCATAAACGTAGGCCGTGGGCCGGGCTGGCTCCCCTGTCAAGGTTGCTGACTCCTGGTGTAAACCAGTCAGCTGAATTCCCACGGTCTTGGGTGAGTGAGAGGTCTCTGAGTTCAGAGCAGCCGGCCCTGACATCTGTTCCCTTGTTCCAGCACCTTAGTCACATCCTTGCCTTCCTGACGTGGGGACTCTGTTCACCTCAAGTAGGAGCCTGACCTCATGTCCTCCTTGAGGGACTTTTTGAGGCTTTGGAGCCGGTCATTGTCCCTCATCCTTCCTTTTACCAGAAGGACCTTCTGCCCCTTTGCTGAGACTGGCTCGTACTCAGTTTTCCCTTGTCTTCGGAGTAATCATCTTAGTGATTCCTGGTGGATTACGTGTGTGATCTTTAAGTTTCCAGGGACCTCTCGGTGCTCACAGCTGGCTCTTGATCAGCACCTCAGACTGATGATCTGAGCATCCCACTCTCTGTCCTCTGCCTCACGTTCCTCCCCGTTGCTCTTGTTAGCTTCTGTGCTTAGTGTTTACCCCACATCCCTGTCATCTCGAGCACTGTACCCAGCTCAGGACTGGTCACTGAACACCTGATGACAGTGGTGATAAGGGGTGGTGGAATTTGAGGGACGGGGCAGGCTCCGGGCAGGTGCGTGAGCTCTCTGGGAGCAGTCTTGTGGAAAGGCCTGGGCAGGGCACTCCGGGCATGGCTGTTGTCTTACTCTACACCCGGCGTTAGGAATCGGGGCTTTGGAAAGGGACGTTTGCTTTACTATCACCGAACCTCCTAGGTTAATATTTATTGGTCACAAAGTATTCTGAATTCACTCTTTTATTGCTGAGTAGAAAAATGCTTCTATATACTTACTTTTCTATAGCCAACCCTTGTAAGAAAATCCTCTCTAGATTACATCACAATTTTTCTCAAACTTTTTTTTTTTTCCTTATTAAAAAGACTGAGCTTTGCCGTGTTGCCTAGGCTGGCCTGGGAATTGCGAGCCTCCTCTCTCTGCCAGCACTACAGGTGGGCGCCCCTGCCCCGGCTTGGACGCTGTTTTATGAACAAGCTTTCAAAGTCTGTGTGCTACTTCCTTTGGTTTGTCTTCATTGATGTGCCCGTTAATTCCTTTCTGCAGGGTCAGGTGTGTTTACCTTAAAGTAATTACAAATATGTTCAGCTCTTTCTTAAAAATCCACTGTGAAATTTTTTTTAAAGAATTATTTAATTTTTATTCATTAATTTTAATTTGACCCGAGAGATACACAGAAAGAGAAAGAGAAAGAGAGAGGAAGTGAGAAAGCAAGAATCCCAGGTCCGGGATTCGAACTATAGTTGGCCACCACGCCACCTGCTGGTCCCCCCACTGTAAAATCTTACATCAGGAAATCAAGTATGTTTGAATGTTGCAAATACAAAACCACAAGAAGCACAGAAATCACAAACAAGGTTTGAGTCACTTGTTTAATATACAAAGGCTTTCACAGGTAAGTAATTTATTTTTCTTGGTCTTAGTACACATTATTCACAAAACAGTAAATTGTTAATGCAAGAGAATTAGGTAAAACAAAAAATGTACAAATGCCCAATTTCAAAAGTTGTACACAGTTAAACTAAGTTACCCTTCTTTGTGTTAATGCGCCTCCAGTTTCGGAATGGGCTTGTTTCCGGTGTGGGGGAATGCTGCAGCCCAGAGTAACAGTCCTCCCTGTCACCTGTATTGATAAGTAATAGCACCATTGGGCTGGCGAGGAAAGGAAAAGGTCTTCGTCTTTCCTAACGAAAGTGTAAGCCTCACAGAATTGCCGTGGAGCCACCACTGTGACGGTCCATTTAAGACCCCTGCGTTGTCTCAGAACACTCACGGGCAAGGCAAGGCAAGCTGTGTCTGGCAGAGGGAGCGGTCTTTCCACCTCACCCTGGGGTCACTATGATTTCTGTTCGTGATGTCGTTTCTCTGAGGACCAATCGCCTGGTCAAAATATGGGTGATTTTAGGGTACCCAAGGAGATTTAATGCTGGTGCACTTTGAGAAAGACTGATTTCTGCATTGCTATATCCCAAGTTTTGCTTTTTAAATTTTTGTATGTTGTTTTGCACTTAAGCTTAATCGCCTTTGGGTTTCAGTTTTTGAAAGAGCTGCAATTCAATCTTTAATCCTATACAGTATAAGGGACTGTTACTTAAGAAATTTAACAGCATCAGTGTCTGCTTGTGGTATTGATAATACCAAGATTCAGGTTATGATCATAAAAGGCCACGGTTTTTAGCAGAGTGGGGAGCTCACGCCTCGGTGCCTGCCCTGCGTTTCCATTCCCTCTCATTTCCTGTGTGAGCAGGTGAGTGTGCCCAGCACGTGGCCACTCAGTTGGGCTGCCTTTCATCTTGAGGGTTGTTTCTAGTCCACAAAACACAACCACCAAGCCAAATCCCGTCATTGTTTGAAAGGGCACAACGGACACAGTCACACAATGTACAAAGGAAGTAGTCAGCGTTAGGTTTTAAATGCACATAACTAGTTCAGATTGGTTGGCCCATAACCACCCGCTTCAGGAAAGCTTTTTAATGATGCTTTCCTGTAGTGGATGCTTTTAAAACTGAAATTCAGATGTTCAGGATCTTAGCAGATAAACGACTCTTAACTCCCTAGAGAGCTGTGTTATTTTCTCATGTCAGTAAAGTCAGACCCCATAGAAGTTAATTTTGAGAATTTAGGTATAGATTTCAGACACCAGGTTACTTTTTATCATTAATGCCTTTCTTTGCTTTTTATTCTGGAAATGATTTCTTAGTGTTAAGTGTAGCCCTTAATGAGGTTTTTTTAGCCGATCATTTTCTGCTCTGAAGTGAGCTCTGCACTGCTCTGTCTTAAGCTGGTACAGAATATCGACAGTGTTTTCAGTGGTGACCAAGGAAATAATCCTTTCCTTCCAGAGCCAACAGGAGAGGCATCAGCATTTTTTTGTTTGCTGGTGACTAGATTTTCCCCCCCCAGGATATTTGTGAACATGTTGCCATTGCTTAAACCTCAGGAAAAATGGGTCGGTCGGGTCTGAGGAAAACCAGATCCAGGCTGACCCTGGGTACAGTGGCACAGTCGGAGCCCTGGAGCCTGTCTTCACTGATGGATTTACCGTGCGTCTTCACGACAGCAGTTTAAGAGGAAGGTAAGGGGGTTTGCAGGTCTATCTCTTAGTTTAAACGCCACTTATGTCCGTGTTCGTGCCTAATTTTTGGTCCAGTTTAGTTACCTTAACTTTATTTTCCTCTGCATTTATTCCATGCCCTACAAAAGTCTTAAGAAAGGTGAGTTTTAAACCTTTTGTTTCCTGACTGAATACCATAACATTTTTTTTTTTGCATATATATACACGAATACACGCACGCCACACACACTCACACACACACACTTGATGGGGTTTAACTTTTCTCCTAGGAATCGGGACTCAGTGTCAGCCACTACTAATACTGTCTTTCTCATGAAAAGGTTTTTATTTTCCTTTTTCCTATGATAATCTGTGAACAAGCACACTGATAATTACAAAGTGCATCGACGTGATACCCAGATTTGTGCACTGCGACACCCGTGCTTTGGTTGCTGTGGCCTCTTCACAGTACCAAGAGTGACTAACACAAGTCAGTCACCTCTGGTTTTTCTTTATTGGAGGACATCTCCCTTTGACAGGCCACTGGATCTAGCGTCATTAATCCACGTCAGGGCAGTGTTGTCATCTCACGCAGCCTCACGCGCACTCCAGTTTTACGTGAATGTGCAAAGAACACCCTGAAGAGCTGTCAGCCCTATACAACGCGGTGTGTTACTTAGCACAGGTCTGCGGAACGCCTTCCTTCTCAGCTGAGTCAGGGAAATGCCGCTGGCTTTTAAAAACAGGGGCTAGGTTTTTAGTCATAACTACTCATCTCTCAAGTTGACACCTCATGTGGATTAAAAAAACCTTACACACTATTTAATAAGAAAAATATTTCATTTTTATTTCCCTATCGTAAGTGCTTCATAGTAGCAAACAAGTTAATTTCACAACTTTGCAGACTTTTATCTTTCTATCCTTTGCTTTTTCATGCTTTAGAAAAATGGTCACTTCAGCTAACTCTTCAAACTAGCTTAATCTGATTAATTTAGTACTTTGTAAAATCATAACATTTGTGAAACTTGGAAATAAAATAATGAATGGAGCTCCTCTTTTGGAATACTGGATTGGTCAGTGAGGCAGAGGCCTAATTTCTAATCGTAGCACTCTGACTTCCATGAGGTCAGTTCTAGCTGAGGTGTGTAAAAACTACATTCTGGATTTGAGACTTGGTTCATGAAAAACAAAACTGTTTGAATATTTCATATTGATGACATGTTAGAAGTAACATATCTATAGTGTTAAATAAACATCCAAATTAATTCACCCGTTTTTACTTACTCTAATGGGGCTAGTAGGAACTTAAAATGGACTTCTGTGGCTGCATTTGTGGCTGCGCTAGTCCTGTTGGACAGCACCGTATTAGACCGGATGAAATAGGACCTAATTGCCGATTTCAGCCTGGGGGTATTTAGTGGAGCTGACTGAACCTGAATCTTTTCGTTGATGATTTAAATATAATTCCAGGTATTAATGCCTTCAGATGTGTGTTTCATCTACTTTTTAAAACATGCATCTGTTAAAATAACAGGACTCCACTGTAGGCATAAAAATCTGTTAACTGCCAAAGTATGTCAAAATATGCATCCTCCAGGTTTGCTTCCATTGTGACTTAGGGATAATTTAGGCTTAAAATCGATTGTGTTATTTCCAGATGAGATAGTTAATGTTACAAGGCCCTAAAAAAAATACACATTGCATTTCAAGGCTGTGTTCTTGAACTTTCCTCCTTCCACTGTGAAAAGTGTCGCATGTCCATTTAATCTTTCATCCTTGCCTAAAAGCGTTCTTTACTTGCACGTCTTAGAATCTAGCAAATTGCTTGCATTCTCTCATCACTCTTTAGGCTATTCTGTGCTTCCCGGGATCCTGGCCATTCGGTGTGTTTTTCTCCTTTCCCTTTTGAGCAAAGTAAGGAAAAATGCGTCAGGACAGAGGAGGAGATGAAGGGAGTGGGTAGTCCAGGGTCACCTCTGTCAGTTGTAGTGGCTGAGGGCTAGAAAGAAGTTCTTCAGCAAGAACAGCCACTGCCACTGTCACACCGGTATCAGCTCAGGGGGGCCGCCTTCTGTGGACGGCAGGGCGTTTGTGCCCGCCTGTGACACAGGCACTGCCACGCTGTCCTTGAGGTCCGTGCCCACGTTGCATGAGAAGTTCTTCTCCAGTTTTTTGGCAGTGTCTGGGCAGTTCTGCACAAAGATCACGCGGTTGTAGGCCTTCAGCCTGCGCCAGAGCTGAGCATAGACTTTACACTGTACATACATGAAGACGAGGCCCCCTGTGAAGCCAATGGCCACCACAACCAGCTTTGTCCAGAATGGCCATTCGAGGACACCTGTGGAATCCGAGAGAGAGACGGTTGTCACCAAATGGTCAGCAATGGATTTGGTCGGTTTTTCCTATGGTCCTTGCAAAAGATGCTACCCGCCTGGTAAGTTATGTTGCTAAGGACTGTATTGTTAACTAGTAAGTGGTATTAGAATTGGCATGAGTCCTCTCAAGTATTTTAAGTGTATCGTGAAAATCGTAGCTAAGGAAATGTTCTGGCTAGCCTCTGTGGTGTTAGCTGCTCTCCGTGTGGAGGATGTGTTGTAATTTTCAGACTGGTCGACTTCCTTATTGCTATTGTTAAGGAAGGCTAGTGGGTACACTCGGTGAAAAAGTCGGAATTTAGAATCTGTTTAAGATGAGTCAGAAGGTGTATGTACGGGCGTGAACCTGCAAGAGTTTTTTAAGAGGAGGGAGGGAAGAGACGAGGAACGAAAGAAAGGAAGCTGCTGGATCTCAGCAGAAAAAGATCCCTGAGACAGATGAAGGATTTTTGTCGTTTGTTCATACAATTGTACACCTTGTCACCAAGAACCGTCAGATTTTTAGCCATCAATATTCTCTTAGTTGACATCGCTATGATCAGAAATAAGCTTCCCTTCACAGACACAGCTTTACGGTTACTTCAGCTTCTGTAACCGCTGAGGATTTAGGGCACACAAAATTGGCAGCACCGAAGGTGTGACGGTCAGGCCCCTGCCCCATGCCAGCTGCAGCGTGTGTGGGGACAGGTCCCTGAGAGGTGGTCAAGTCAAAGTGTGGGTCGGGTGGTGTAGGAAGGGCTGACGGGAATCGGGAGAAGCCATAGTAACAGTTTAGGATTCTACTTTGGATTTTTATTATAACAATGAACAGAGTAATAAGATCTTACCTAAATTTTAGTAATGGTTTTTGTGTTGCGCTTTTGCCCTGTTTAGATCATGATGAAGCACTTCATGCCCCAAAGATTAAGCATAAGAGAACAGGATAACCCTGTCGAGTCCTGGTCCCAGTATCACATGGGACTGCGCATTTCTTAAACTCCGAGAGGCCCAACAGAGTTTTATTCTTGACGTTTACATAGCTGATGTCGGGAGTTAAGTGCGATCTCAGGACATGGCGGTCATAAGGTTGCATTTTCCCATCACGAAGGGTCACAGACTCGGGGACCATGGCGGTCTTCCTGCTACAGCGCTGACCCAGTTGAAGACAGCTGCTTGGAGACAAGCACTGTCAGGAGAGCGCGTGGCTGGGCACAGCACAGACTGTACTCACCCGAGCCTGGACGGGGCAGTGCCTGCCCACCTAGGCCACCTGGTGCGCACAGTGGGCGTTTGGGAGCTAGACCAAATGGAATGATGCAAGGCTGAGTCAGGCTCCAGAGAAGCGACGCCATGCAGAGACTAGGTGAACACGGGGTGCAGATGTGCAGCTGCTGGCGCACGCAGTCAGGCTTGTCCTCTGTAAGCAGGACGTGTGCTGAAGTGGTGGTGTGGTGGGGACGTGGCCAGCGACAGTGTTTATCACCAGGTCGTGTGTCCTGTAAGCTAGGGGCACAGTAGGCTTCTTTACACCGACATCAAACACCTGAGCACTGTGTTATGACATCTGTGACCTTGTGACGGCCACATCACTAGGCACTAGGTTTTTTTGTCCTTACGCTATAGGGCACGTGCTCACGGAGGGTGGTGAGAAAGCCTCCCCCCCCTCGCAAGGGATGGCATGCTGCAGTCCCGTCTCCATTCTCGGAATTCTGATCACACGCTCCCAGCATGTTTTTCAACTATGTTCGCCTAAAATCCCAAGAGCCGAATGAAGGAGAAGGGATTGTGGTGTGGCCACCCCCATTGGGAGGTACTTTTTCTTCGTTTCTACCCCCACCCCGTGAGTGCATGCTCCTTATAGCTTAAAAAATAAATAGAATTAATTGAATCAACAATTAGTAACCTCCCAAAGGAGAAGACAAAAGCCTGGTTTCATTAGTCAATTCTAAACACCAATTTTCTAACGCTGGTTTTTAGAAAGTAGGAGCAGAGGGTGTGCTCACAGGCTCATTTTATAAGGTCCACATTACCCAGTCCCATATCGGGCAAGGGCATTACTGTGATGGAAAACACACTAATGGGCGTAGATGCAAAAATCCTCAACAGAATCATAGCAGATTAGCCCAATGTGTGGAAGCAGTTATATACCACAGCCAAGAGGGGTTATCCCAGGCGAGCAGATGCGCTGGCCGCTGCCACCCTCTGGGGAAAGAGGCGTCTGTCCTGTGATACATGCAGGCGATTCTCCCACATCCTGTGTCGGCATGCTGACCCTGGAGGCGGGGCGGTACCTTCCCACACGTTTCAGCACATGGTGATTAACACGGAACAGCCCAGGCCCACTCTGCATTGCCGTGCGTGCCGTGGCACCTGGGCTGCTACACCTTGACGCCACCCCAAAGCAGCCTGCAGGTGGGCTCTCCAGGGAAGGCCTAAGCCAGCCTATGCTTGTCCTTCCACATGATGTTGAAGGCTCGAACTAGAGGAGTGGAAATGCTCTCTTACTTCGGCTGGGAAATGTGCCGCTCGAACCACGGAGACCAGCCCCCGAGTTGCAGGGAGGTTCAGGGTGAGAGAAAGCGCTCAGACACAGAAAGGCAGATGGACCTCTCAGCATGGCGCACATGGGCAAGCCTGACTCTGGGCAAGATGTTTTTCTCACAAAGCCAGAGAGGAAAACTGGGTTTCTAGGTCAAAGCAACTGTATTTATAGAACTCGATTGAAAAAGTAAAATGTATGAATTATTCCTTTAAAGTTTGCGATAGGGGATGTGTACTTGCTGGGGGGGGGGGGGGGTGAGAAAGTGCCCCCTGGAGAAGGGAGATGGTCAAACTGCAATCCTGTCTACTCTATTCCCTTTTTAGGATTTTTTGGCATGCACACACACGTGCTCACAATGAGTTTTAAGCTGCTGGGTCCAGGACTTGAATTGTGGTTGACTATGGGAGTCCAGCGATGTAACTGCTATGCTATCTGCTGGTACCCCCCAGCCTGCCTTTAACAGGAAAAAAATCCTCTGTGTTGGCCCTCCATAGTGGCACAGAGTTAATGCAACACCCGAACGCACATGCAAAGGTCCGAGGTTCTCGTCTCAATTCCTCTATGTGCCAGGTTTTTTTGTTTACCCACAATTCCAGCCGGTGCGCACAGTGGGCGTTTGGGAGCTAGACCAAATGGAATGATGCAAGGCTGAGTCAGGCTCCAGAGAAGCGACGCCATGCAGAGACTAGGTGAACACGGGGTGCAGATGTGCAGCTGCTGGCGCACGCAGTCAGGCTTGTCCTCTGTAAGCAGGACGTGTGCTGAAGTGGTGGTGTGGTGGGGACGTGGCCAGCGACAGTGTTTATCACCAGGTCGTGTGTCCTGTAAGCTAGGGGCACAGTAGGCTTCTTTACACCGACATCAAACACCTGAGCACTGTGTTATGACATCTGTGACCTTGTGACGGCCACATCACTAGGCACTAGGTTTTTTTGTCCTTACGCTATAGGGCACGTGCTCACGGAGGGTGGTGAGAAAGCCTCCCCCCCCTCGCAAGGGATGGCATGCTGCAGTCCCGTCTCCATTCTCGGAATTCTGATCACACGCTCCCAGCATGTTTTTCAACTATGTTCGCCTAAAATCCCAAGAGCCGAATGAAGGAGAAGGGATTGTGGTGTGGCCACCCCCATTGGGAGGTACTTTTTCTTCGTTTCTACCCCCACCCCGTGAGTGCATGCTCCTTATAGCTTAAAAAATAAATAGAATTAATTGAATCAACAATTAGTAACCTCCCAAAGGAGAAGACAAAAGCCTGGTTTCATTAGTCAATTCTAAACACCAATTTTCTAACGCTGGTTTTTAGAAAGTAGGAGCAGAGGGTGTGCTCACAGGCTCATTTTATAAGGTCCACATTACCCAGTCCCATATCGGGCAAGGGCATTACTGTGATGGAAAACACACTAATGGGCGTAGATGCAAAAATCCTCAACAGAATCATAGCAGATTAGCCCAATGTGTGGAAGCAGTTATATACCACAGCCAAGAGGGGTTATCCCAGGCGAGCAGATGCGCTGGCCGCTGCCACCCTCTGGGGAAAGAGGCGTCTGTCCTGTGATACATGCAGGCGATTCTCCCACATCCTGTGTCGGCATGCTGACCCTGGAGGCGGGGCGGTACCTTCCCACACGTTTCAGCACATGGTGATTAACACGGAACAGCCCAGGCCCACTCTGCATTGCCGTGCGTGCCGTGGCACCTGGGCTGCTACACCTTGACGCCACCCCAAAGCAGCCTGCAGGTGGGCTCTCCAGGGAAGGCCTAAGCCAGCCTATGCTTGTCCTTCCACATGATGTTGAAGGCTCGAACTAGAGGAGTGGAAATGCTCTCTTACTTCGGCTGGGAAATGTGCCGCTCGAACCACGGAGACCAGCCCCCGAGTTGCAGGGAGGTTCAGGGTGAGAGAAAGCGCTCAGACACAGAAAGGCAGATGGACCTCTCAGCATGGCGCACATGGGCAAGCCTGACTCTGGGCAAGATGTTTTTCTCACAAAGCCAGAGAGGAAAACTGGGTTTCTAGGTCAAAGCAACTGTATTTATAGAACTCGATTGAAAAAGTAAAATGTATGAATTATTCCTTTAAAGTTTGCGATAGGGGATGTGTACTTGCTGGGGGGGGGGTGAGAAAGTGCCCCCTGGAGAAGGGAGATGGTCAAACTGCAATCCTGTCTACTCTATTCCCTTTTTAGGATTTTTTGGCATGCACACACACGTGCTCACAATGAGTTTTAAGCTGCTGGGTCCAGGACTTGAATTGTGGTTGACTATGGGAGTCCAGCGATGTAACTGCTATGCTATCTGCTGGTACCCCCCAGCCTGCCTTTAACAGGAAAAAAATCCTCTGTGTTGGCCCTCCATAGTGGCACAGAGTTAATGCAACACCCGAACGCACATGCAAAGGTCCGAGGTTCTCGTCTCAATTCCTCTATGTGCCAGGTTTTTTTGTTTACCCACAATTCCAGCCGGCTGACATGGGGTGCGCTGTGTGTCGAGGCCCTGTTAGGCTCCCTGCCTCTATCTCTCTGTCTCCCTCTGGTGGAAGAAAGAAAGAAACTTCAAAACCCCTTACATCTTCCTCATGGCGTTCGTTCTCTATTGGAGTGAGGTTGGGCATCGTGGTCGGCGTGACCCAAGGCCGTTTCTCTTTGGGAGCCTGAGCCTGCAGCAGCTCTGTGAGCAGGTCCACGGCACCTGACAGCTTTCAGATCCTTCAGTTACTGTTTGTTCTTTGCTCCCAGAAACACCTTCCTTGGCTAATGGTTCAGACGGATTCAGTTTCTTCGCAGGGCCGAATGCTAGCAGGAGCACACAGCCGTGGCAGTGTCTTCTCAAAGGCGGTCTCCCTGCACAGAATCCCCGCTCGCATGCGAGGATGGGATTGTACTCCTAAGTGTCAGCTGCTCAGTCTTCACGCCACGCGTGTTCACTCAGCTGTTGCTCCTTGGCACACTGGACCTGTTGTCCATCGGTCTCTCTGCCGTCCATCTCCTGCGAGCTGGGTGCAGCGACAGCTCGGGTGGCCCGTGCTGGCCTGCACTGGCCCTTGGCATCTCTTGCTCGGACACGCGCTTGGCCCCGTAGGACAACAGCCAGAAACCTGAAGGTGTCACACAGTGGTTATGCTCTGCTTTCTTTCTTTTTCCTTTTGTAAAATATTTTCCGGAGGGCACATGTGCTTCCGGGGAGAAACGGCAAGGAGAAAGCACACCCTAGTGGAGCGCGTCATTGCCACAACCCCTTCTCTCCTTCCTTTCGGGGTTCTGGACGTGCACGTAGCCCAGTGTGCTTTCCAAGCCACGGTGTCCAGGGCTCACACCACATGGTCAGCCATGTGGGATCCAGTCCCTTAACCGGTAGGCCATGGGCTGGCCCATGTTTTTTGTTTGTTGTTTTCAAAATACTGCAACTGCCATGTGAAGAAGGCAGGGCCAGCATGCTTTCTGGTAAAAGGCAAAACAAAACACACACAGGTGAGCTGCACCTGCCATCCTAGCCAATAGGACCCTCCTGCCGGACAGACAGGAGCCTGGCCCTGCTGCCGCTGTGACCACGCGAAGGGTCACCTGCCATGACTCAGCTGTGAACTGCCAGGTCAGTCCGGCTGGCCCAGACCTGGAGCGATGCCCAGGCGACACAGAATTGGGAGTAAAATACATGGTCGTGTTTTTGTCGGTTTAGGATGGTTTGTGACACAGCAAAAGCCAACAGATGACATCAATTCAAAATGGAGGTAGTGACGGTATCTCCCTCGTGGGCCAGCGTAGGCTAAGTGGATTCGCAGTGCCTGTCGCATGGGAAGTGCCGTTGTGGTCTGGGTGTCTAAATGCTGTGCATCTTTGGCTGATCGGGCTGTTGGTTCTGAGCAGAGCTTTCGCTGGTGCCGCCCACTAAGACCGGGCCGATTTCCCTGGGCTTCCCCTCTTCACTCCGGGTAAAGGCAAGCTCCACAGGGCCAGCAGGCGACGTGGTTTAACTGCTGGGCTCCCACACGGCCTGCCATGGTTTGGGTTCCGAACCTAGTGACCTGTTTCCTCAATTTCCCTCCTCTTGCTCTCTCTGTCTTTCTCTTGTGAGCGTACATGCCCTGTAGCAAATTAAATAATAAAATTAAATCATTTATAAAAAATAAAAAGCCCAGGGTCTAGACGTGGAGCACTCCGGTTAGCTGGCCACAGGCTGGCTGCATTTGGGCAACGCCACACCCCCATCACTGCCTCTGGGTGCCCCTGCAGTTCCTTCATCAGAAGGAAAGCTCTTAAACCTACTAAAGCAGGCGAGACGGTCCTTACTCGAGTGGCGACAGCGTGTACTGCGTTTCGTAGGGGGTGCTGGGCCAAGCTACCCGGCCACGGTGGCTATGGATCGTCAGCCGGGCATATCCAATTGTGGTCCTGCCTATGGATGTGCGCCAGGCTCCCTTTGAGACCCACTCACTGCCCGCAGTGCTGTCTCTGGAAATCCATTTCCTTTGGTGACAGACAAGGGTCCCTGTCCCTCTCCACTGCAGACCAGCAGGCCAGGTCACCTGTAATCTCACTTTTCAGTTTTCTCATTAAGTCAATTTAGGTAAGCCAGAAAGTCCTCTTTGGGGATTCATAATATTGGATCGTGGGAAAAGTTATGAAGCATTTTGCATAGAAAAATACGTCTTGATTTTCTGACGCCCCAGTACCATTGGAGAGCAGACCAACGATCTGTTAGGTCTCTTCCAGCTTTCAAGTGAGATCTCACGGCGTGTTCTGCATACCTTCTGCAGCAGCCCACGTGACTGGACACCTGGAGTGTTTCTAAAAGCCTTTTAAAACACCAGCAGCAGAAGAGAACCTGCCTCATTGAACAGCTGCAGGGACGGTGTATATTTAGAAGAAGCGTCTCCCTGGGAAATGGAACATTTTTTGGCCGGGCCCTGCGGTTATGCAGTTACAGAGTATGTCTTTATAAGGAAGGCGGGTGCGAGAGCCTGGGCGGTGTTGGCTTGCTCCTTCACCCTGCTTGCTTCCCTCTAGTTGGATAAATTACTTAGTAACAACAGCAGAGTGGTTTTGCATGCTTGTAACTGTCCCCTTAGCTTATTTGATGGCGGTACGCACTGTGAGTGAGAGGCAGGACGGAAGTGCGTGGTTTCTGTGAGTACACGTTCCGGTTTGTCTGATGCAAGGGCGCAGTCCTGTCTTTGGAAGATGCGTCATAGCACCTGTAGGGAGCACTCAGTCAGACTGTCCTGTTTCAAGTGAGGAAACTGAGCTTCAGGACGAGAAATTACTCGAGATAGCCAGCCAGACACCCAGGCAGGACTAGACCCCTGGCCGCCTGACACCCAGCCCGTGCCAGTGTTTAGCAGGCTTGGGTTCTTACCTGCCGGGGTCGGCCACAGCCACACAGGTCTGAGCCCGACCGACAGCAAGTGCTCACCGTGACGAGGCAGGGCAGTGCCCGGGACAGCTTGAAGTCGTGGGGACAAACCGATGTATGGCGTTCATATTTAGTAATTCGGGGCAGCTTTAGCATCTGAGCCGCTAGTCTCTAACAGTATAAATGTTGAGTTTTGGTCTGTACTTCTGGTATTGGCTTTTTTTCCCCTTTAATTCTTCTATGAGCGTGAGAAAACCCCCAACAGGGTCTTCAGACTGAACTCGGCTCTTCCATCACAGACAGCGTCTTCGTGTGCTCAGGGAGGGCTGAGAGGTGAGCCAGGGCCTTTCCGCGTGGGTCTGACCGTGTCACTGCCGCCCCGTTGCCAGGCCCCCTGCGTTTTGCTTTTTAATTACAAATACTATCCTGGGCATTCTCGCACATGCACGGACACGACAGGAGGTCGCCAGGTCAGGGTTGGCCGCAAGGGCATGGCGCTGTTCAGGTTTCGGGAGGAAGAGTTGGAGAGCTCAGTGGAGAGCCGTCGGGGCACCACGGTGTCGCCCAAAGGAGCAATAACTTAAACACACAGGAAGGGATTTCTCTACCCAGTGTTCTCGTTAGAATTCAAAGATTTTGCTATTTTTACATTTCAACCTCAATTCTGGTTGGAAAAGGACAATCGGTTTCTCTTCAAATATTTTTGGAAGTTTACAAAATAGATAAAAAATCTGCTAACTTTTAAATGATCCAGTTTTGGCGTAATGGTTACATCGCTGGACTCCCACATGGCCGACTGTGGTTTTAGTTTCAGACCTGGAGGCTTGAAATTCACGCCAAGCGCATGTGTGTGTGTGCATGCCCAAAATCCCGAGAGGAGAGTGGAGAATGGATTGCTGTGTGGCCATCCCCCGGGGTGACCTCTCATTTTCTGTCTCTCTGTCTGGCAAGTGGATACACCGTATAGCAAGAAATCTCTAGAAAAATGCAGTTTTTCCCAACAACTTTAAAAGTGAGTTCAGCGTCGCTGCTCAGGCCCAACCAAAGGAGGATCGGAATAACGGCAGTTCTATTTCAGTTGCCTTTATGATATATAAATTATAGGGACCAGCAGATGGCATAATGGTTACGTCAGAAAGGCCAGTGGGCTCTGCACTGTCACCGCCGTGTTGTCACTTAGCACTGTGTGACCGGCAGCTCCTTGCCTACGAGCCCCACACTGTGTGTTGCTGCCACCTGGAGGGCGAACTTGGAATGGCACGTCCTCCCTTGTGCACTGAAGAAGCCCCAGGAAGAAACAAAAAACACACCTCTGGCTCGTTTGGTTTTTGTTTTGCTTTGTTTTGTTTTGCTATAGGACATGTGTTCTCACTGGAGACAGAGAGGGAGAGAGAAAGCATGAAGGCATCCCTGCAATCCCTTCTCTATTCTCCTCCAGGGACTTGGGGCATGAGACACACGTGCCCAAAGTGCTTTTCAAGTCACCGGGTTTGGGACTCGAACCACTAGCCAGCCGTGTGGGATCTGGCCACCCTAACCACCCCTGCTACGTTGTAGATGGCCTTGGAAACGCTCTCATCTCAGCGGGCCGCGGTGTTCATGACCGGCAGGGGAGGTGGGTGTCCGGGACCCAGCGGGGAGCAGGCCCCTGCTGGCAGGCAGGGCGGGACGCAGCGGGGCGGGGCGGGTTTTCGGGGCGGCGGGTGTGCTCACCGTTGTCGTTGCCCTGCTTGATCTCCTCGGCCGTGCGGTCTATCAGCACATACAGGGACCACACCACGCAGGTGATGGCGATCACGTGGAAGGAGACGGAGCAGCAGATCTTCCTCCTCTCGCTCGTGGTCATCTGCAGCTTCTCCCACTGCAACAGACAGGCACAGCGTGAGGCCCCGCTCTGCCGCAGGCGTCTGTGGGGCCAGGTCACCGCGCAATCACACGGGGAGGCACAAGAGCCGGACAGCGGGACAGCACCCCCGCTCCCGGGGGATGGCAGCCCGTGGTTCCATGTGCCCCCCGAGTTTCCTCATCTGGTCGAGAGCCAGAGCTTTCCTAGGACACTTCCTCTCGGGGTCCCTGTGGCCCTCGTGGTACCAGGTGAGACGGAGCCTAGTAAGGGTCGTACTGTCGCCTGGGATTACCGCAGACCTGGCCGAGTGCTGTCGTCTTCTTACATTTTTTTTCAATTTATGGTTCTTGCCATAGGGCATGTGCACTCACCAGAGAGAGACAGAGACAGAGAGAAGGACAGTGAGAACTTGTCCCCCCGCTGTGGGGTTGGCCATGCTGCAAAATCCGTGGGGACTTGAACCTGGGTCGGCCATGTGGGAGTCCAGTGCCTTAACCACCATGCCACCTGCTGGCACCCCAGTGTGCCAGGTTTTTAATCATCCAAGATTCTTTACATTATTATGTCCTTATTGGAACAAAATATTTCAAAGCCCAGATCCCGAAGACCTCAGACTCACTGTTGCCATGTGTCAGGTGCAGTCCTGGCACCCGCTCCAGCTTAGAAACCGCTTCCTCTCTGTGGGCTGCGGGCTGAGGCCTCGTCTCCAGGCCAGGCAGCCTGTGTGGAGGCTGTGCAGGGGCCAGGACGAGGGCACCTCCCAGCGAGCAGACCAGGGCTACCGGGCCAGCGCCAGGGCAGAGGCTGGGCAGACACGGCCCACAGGGAGGTGGGAGGCAGGCTGGAGGCGTGGAGGTTCTGCTTCCTGCCTCCCTCCCTCCGCTGGTCTCCTTGGCTACCTGGAGTCTAGTCACTGGGAGGCCTGCCAGCGGTCACCTGGCCACCTGAGGACAAGTCCTGGGACCTACAGAACCCTCAGTCCATGAGCCCCAGTGACCCACCCGTGCTGCACCACGCGAGGACACAGGCCCGCGACTCCCCACCAGGGCTGGCCACTGTCCTGCGGTTCAGATGAGTGAACAAGCCGGCGGGTCTCCCAGCTTCCCGCCCAGCCTCCCGCCCAGCCTGGGGCTGAGGCCAATAGGGTGGCTGTACTCGGCCCCAGCTCTTGTCACGGGATTTCCCTGGGGTTGATGAGAGCTACTTACCTGTCCATCCTGTACTTATTATTATTTTTTTTTTTGGAGAGGTTTTTGCCATAGGGCACGTGTGCTCACCAAACAGAGAGAGACAGAGAGACAGAGAGACAGAAAGCGAGAAATCACCCCCCAGGGGGGATGGCCATGCCGCAATCCCTTCTCCATTCTCCTCTTGGGATCTTGGGCACGCATGCATATGCGCCCGTCATAAATTTAAGCCGCCAGGTCTGAGACTTGAACTGTGGTTGACCACGTGGGAGTCCAGTGACACAGCCATTATGCCAACTGCTGGTCCCTTTCATCCTGTACTTTCTACAGGTTGAACCTGTACGTGCTGATAGGGTGACAATGCGAAACTGAGTGATGTGAGCTGGGCACAAGGACAGGCTTCAGTTTACTCGATTTTGAATTAATCTGTGTTGAGGAGAGTTAGGATTTGGGGGCCCCTCAGGGCCAGGCGGTGGTGTGGTCATGAAGCTGGGCTGGCATGGGAAGGTCCTGGTCTAGGCCTCACCTCCCTGACTGCAGCGGGACTGTGGCTGCAGGACCGGGCTGGCTGGGGTTGGCGGCCACTCGCACTGTGAGGTCTGGGGGGGTCTCTCCCTCCTCATGGAAGATGTAAATGGACTTCAGAAAACCGAAACCCAAGCACACCCCACACTGTGTCTGCGGAAGACGGGCTTTTAAAATCTCATTCCAGTACTGGGTTCTTGAAGGTCACTGAGCACCCTGTCCAGTCCCCGGGTAGGGCCACCCACAGGCACTTCGGGACGTGATAAACAGTCCTTGCTACCTAGGTACTCAGTGAGGACAGGCGCAGGGCTGTCGCCGGGAACCAAACACTTACCAAACCGCCCCTCACCTGTAAAACTGCCGTAAAACCCCTTAGAGGGGCCGGCAGGTGGCGTGGTGGTTAAGGGCGCTGAACTCCTTCAGGGTTGACCGTGGTTCAAGTCTCGGACTTGGCAGCTTGCTTTCTAGCTTTCTCTCTCTCTCTCTCTCTTTTTCTCTCTGTCCCTGTCTGGTCAAATTAAAAAATATAAGTTAAATAAAATAATTCTTGAACAATAAGCCTTAGAAACGGGAGGTGGTACGTCTAACGAGCAGAGTGGTGGAACCAGCCTCCAATAGACAGCTAGCTAGCTGCGCTCACAGGGACGTTCCAGGGCTCGGAAAGATCCCGCCTGGATCCCTCCTTCATGGGAGGAGCTCTGGGGTCGCCCCTAGTGCCAGTAACATCCGAGGGGCAGCGCAGCGGGAGCCCCGCTCTGCAAAGCCTTCAGAGCTCACTGCAGTGCCAGCGAGTGGGGCCACAGCGCCCTTTCCCCGACAGCCACGTCGCTGCGTGGACTCAGCCCGCATGGCCCCAGCACTGCCGCCGTGTTTGGTGACAGGTTGACCAGATGTCATCCCACTTGGTGTGCAAGTCTTTGCCGTGAGGGGCGGATGGAGAGGGCAAGGACTGAGCTGTCGTTTGAAGGAGGCTATCATGGACCTCCGTAGCAGGGGTGGTGCCGAGTCCGCAGCAGGGGGCCGGAGAGTGAGAGATGGGGACGGAAACTCCGCCAGGCTCTGCACCTGCCAGGCCTGGGCACCTGCCGCTCTGCTGTTTGACACCAGTTTTAAAAGTTTATTGTTCCATGAGAGCGAGCGAGAGAGAGTGGGGAGGGGAGACGGGCATCTGCAGCAAGGCCTTCGGGCGCCATCCATCCCTGCCTGGCCCGGCAGGACGGAGCAGCCCCAGGGAGCCCCCCAGACAAACCCGGGGCCTCCAGCGTGGCTCTAGGTGATGTGGGGTGGAGTGGGGGAACTGCTGTGCTGCCCTGGTGTCCCAGTTGGGAAGTAACACGTGGGACCTGCCCAGACCCCAGGGGTCCATTGTCAGCGCTGTCCCAGCTCTGGAGGGGGCAGCGGGGAGCAGAGCCTCTGGTCAAAGCTGGTCCCCACTCAGCAGCTGCCGGTAGGCATTGCCTGGCACCGGGTGCGGTGCAGAGCTGCCAGCTCCACCCTTGAGGTGACTTGGTGGCTTCCCCGCAGGGGACACCAGAGAACACAAACGCTGCCTCCTCACGTGGCCTCGCCACAGCAGGGCAGCCAGGCCACCGCCACGCCTCTTCAGATCACCCGGCCGAGTCCGCCAGCCAGTCCGCCGGCCGCTCAGTATTAAGGGGACACGCGACTCTCCGAAGGTCACCGGGAAGCCAGTGGACCGGACGAGACAGCAGCCCGTCTCCCGTCCCCAAGGGCAGGGGGTGCCGGCCGTCCACCCGCACTGGCGCAGGGCCCTCCCCCAGCAGCCCCGCCGCCTTCCTCCCTTCCTCGCTCCTCGCGCTGCCCTCGCACCTGCCACCCCGACCAGCTGGGCCTGCAAAGCCAGCCCGGATCTTAGCGCCCCTACCCGGGCGGACCTTGCTCAGGCTGTAGGGGCCCTGGGTCTCTGCTTCCTACTTTATTATTCTGAGCCTTTCGCCTGTTGGCATCCCTCAGTGACAGGAAAAAGGGAACAGAACTCATAATGTTACACACTCAGGAAACAATGCCCTGATCTTTCTGACGTTTCTGAATTGTATAAATGGATGCAAATGCTCCTCTGAAGCTTTGCGGGGCTGCTGGCCAAATCGAACCGCATCAAACCGCATCAAACCGCATTACCGACTCGGGTTCACCGCCGCACATTTCTTTCACGTATCTGTATTCTGGCCCAGAGCACAAATCCGGAATACTGCCTCGCGGCCCGTTTCAGATCCTCGTGCCAGGGAGACTGGAGGCAGCTCATCTGCACAACGTCAGAAACCAAGGGCAGGAAACGCGTCCCGGTCCATTTCCTCTTTTCTTGACGCAGTTTCCCGGCGTTTTCCCGCTTCCCTGGCGTGGACCGGAATTCTCAGGGGAAGAGTAACTGGGCCCATCGCAGTGGCAGGTCCACCACCAGGTGGCTCCAGGCCCGAGCGGCGGCCAGCACCTGGCACCCGGTAAAAGCGAAGCCACATTTAGGATCCCCCAGCGGAAGCACTTTGAACCCACCTGTCACATCATGGCGGGGGGTCACCACGCAGGAGGGGAAACCTGGGAAGCCGCGTCTGAAGTCCACGTTTCCTGCACCCCTCCGCCAGCTGCGTCGTGAGGGGAGACAGCCCACCCTTAGGAGCCCTGGCACCGCCGCCATGAGATTGCCCCGGGACGCATGCATTCGGCGTGGGGTTCTCCAAGAGCTCCCCCTGAGCAGCGGCCACCTGCACACCCCAGAAACTCACTCTGCGGGTCCTTCGGCAAACTTCCTGGGCCGGAGCCTGGCGAGGGCTCCTGTGGCCTGCATCTTGCCACGCCCTCCCGGAGTTTGAGAACCACCTGCCTGGAGAGTGACCCTCGCAGAGCTGTGCGACCCCAGAGGAGCTGCACCTGTCCCTCCGTCAGGAGCCCGCTGGGCCAGGAGAGCGCGTCCAGGCCAGTGCGGCCATCGGGCTGCAGAGCTACTATTGCAGGTGGCCGAGAACAAGCGCAAAAGCGATGCCGTTGTTTGGAATAGAGAGAAACGGAGTGTGCTTGCTAACCGCGGAAAGCAACTTTCGCTTTTTTTTTTGCTCTTCCAACTAGGGCTCGGGTAACAGGAGAGCTCATTGAACCTGGCTACTGGTCACAAGGGCAGACTGCCCGAGAGAACCACCCAGCAGACTCGCCTTCCAGACCCGATGACCCCCGAGTCCAGCCCACCCACGGGAAGGCATCGCCTCTTCGGGCCGTGTGTCAGGACACCAGAGAGGGCCCAGGGCATGGCAGAGGCCTCCACTCGAGTGCCCCGGCTCCCCAAGTGTACGT